CAAAAGTCACCGTAGGGCTCTGCGCAGGCCCACTGAAAGGTCAGCGGTTACAACACAGTGGCAACCCCGGGTCCCTAGAGAGGACCCAGGCACCTGTTAGCGTGACCCACATTCGGCAAAGTAGCGGGAGCAGAGTCGTTGGTCGCTCTAGGTGACCCTGAATGAACAGGCGAGGCGGGAGAGCTTGTCCAGCCTGTCTGGCCTTCAGGCTGGAGCTGCTGCTGCCCAGAGCGGCCTGAGGAGGTGACGCGGAAGCCATTGCTGACATCCCTCTTGTGGAGCTGCCTAGTGCCTCTCCCTGCCTCGCTCTCCCCTCTTGGTTATGTTCCCCCGCGTGCCCCACCTCGTGGCCCTCCAGGATGAGAGGCGCCCCTCAGTCGCCACTGTTTAGGAGGCACGGGTGCTGAGGGAAGTCCCCCTGAAGCTGGGCAGTGGGCCTCCAGGACAGCAGCGGCTCCCCAGGAAGGTGGTCCACGAGGGCGTGGGGCAACAGAGCCTGGGCGTGTCACCGTGGCTCGGCCTCTGTCCCCACACAGCTCTTTGTGTGCAGCTCTGCCTGCTGCAGGCTGGAACTGGGTGACACCAGGGAGGCACAGCCACCTGCTCTGGCCAGTGCTTGTTGCTCCACCTGAAATCCCCCTCTCTCTTCATTTGCCAGTGGTGCAAACAAGCTCTTTGTCTTGACTTTGTCGAAACTTGCCGGAGGGAGAGGAGGGTAAGCTTGTCTTGTCACCAGGGGCTGGCCAGGCCCCTGCCGTGTGGCAAGTTCAGCTTCCACATTTGACAAGCTTGGGACACTGAGGCCAGTATCTTGAGTCCCAGAAGCTTTTGTGGGACATTTCATATCCAAATCACAACAGTGTGTACCCCACCTTGTAGGTGAGGACGCAGGAGATCATGTAGGGCACGTAGTGCATGGTGGGGGCAGAGCTCAGGCCAGGTGTCCTCCCTCCCACCACCAGCCCCGCCTGGTGCCTTCTGGGAACAAGGCCATTAGGAGGTGGCCCTCAGATGAGTGTCCACCTCGTGCCTGCTGTACAGAGGAGCGGCACCACAAGTGCTGAGCACAGGGGTGACCCCAGGCCCACACGGCTGTGTGCAAGGCCAGAGATGCGTCTGGCAGACACTGGAGCACAGCACGTGACAGAGCTGGTCGGCAGCCCCGCAGCCTGGCTCAGCACTGGGACCCTTGTCCTGGTAGGGAACAGTTAGACCCGCAGCTGCCCCGGGTCAGGCTCCTCTGAACAAGCATGAATGTGGGGCCCTGTGTCTTCGTCCATTTGTGTCGCTGTACCAGAACACCCGAGGCTGGGCAACCCATCATGAATAGGGATTTACTGGCCCACTGTCTGGAGGCCAGGAAGTCCAGAATCAGGGGCCTGGCACTTGGCAGGGGCATTTTTGCCGCACCGTCCGTGATGGAAGCAGAAGAGCAGGAGCGCGAGCCCCACAGGCTGGACTCACCCGGATGACGCTGGATTCCATGAGAGGGAGCCAGAGGCCACTCGCCTCTTGAAGGTCCCACCCCCTCCTCCCCTCCTGGCCTGTAGTTCTGAGGAGCCTCTTGGGCAGTCTGTTTTCACTCAGGCCAGTCCTGCCCAGCCCCGCACCTGGCTTTGTCCCCCAGGGTTGGTGGCCATGCCTTCCCACTCACCTTCGCAGCTGGGCACAGTAGAACACACAGCGTGGGTGTGTTCTGAGCTGAGTGCCCTGTGTCCTCGAGGAGCCCGAGGTCTGGGCTGGAAAGAGGACAGCCCCTGTCACTGAGATAAGAGCCAGAAAGTTGTGAGCTCTGTGGGAGAAGCACACGGGTGAGGTGAAGCAAGGAGACGGGGACTGGGGGGCCTCCGGCAGAGGGATTGAGTGGTCCACAGAACACTCGGGTGGGGAGCACTGCGGGGCCGACTAGTGGAAGGACGCAGGTCGGCCTTGTCCAGAAGCAGTCACGGGTGGGGCCAAGCCTGAGGAGCCCGACTCATTCAGAGACCTAGCAAGGGTTGGGTCTGTGTGCTCCAGAGGTGGCTTAGGCTGCAGCGCCAATGTAGAAAGCAAGTAGAGAGAGGGTGGGGAGTAGAGGCAGAGCCCGGTAAATCCATTGGGCGCAAGTCCAGGAGGGAGAGGCTGGGACAGCTGGGGGTGGACGGAGAGGCCGTGACTCAAGCAGCACCAATGAGACGCTGACTTCTGAGCTGTGGGAGGCCAGGAAGGAGCATCAGGGCACCTTCTCCCCCAGAATTCTGCAGGATCCCAGCTCAGCTCAGGAGACAAGAGTTGACTCCATGTGTCCTCCACCATGGCCTCTGGCCACATCCTGCAGGGAGGTTAGCTTAGCACCAGGACATCTGGGCATCTAATACCTGGCACTGTCCCACGGGCACCTGCTCCTGCCCAGGACGCAGCTCCTTCTCTGCAGTGGGCTGTTGCCTGAAGCTTCCCAAGTGCTAGCAGCTGCCCTGAAGGAGTCACTCTTCTCCCTGTCCCTCTTCCCTGACCTACCATGGGGCCACTAGGCCAGTGGGAGGGACCAGGAGACAGTGGGGATCGGAGATCTCACGTTTGAAGTGTGTCTTAAGCACAGGGTCATGGTGCCCTGGGGAACTGGGCTCCTGTCTGCTTTCCCCTGCCCTCCAGAGAGACATTTGCTGAAGCAATACGGGGCAGCTCAGGCCAGCAGGCCTCATGAGGAATCCAAAGTGCATGAGCACAACAGACCACTGTGCACACTGTCTGCCATTCAGGGTCCTGACAGAGGAGGGGAACCGGTCATAGTGACCCGGCCAGCAGACACAGAGGACCTTGCAGCAGTGAGGGGAGCCCAGGCATGCAGGTCTGGGTCCAAGGAGGGAACCAGGCCTGACTAGGGCTGCACAGGTTGCCAGGACAGGAGCTCAGCCCCAGGAGAAGGACAGAGTCCGACTCAGGGGCGGGCCCAGCTACTGAGACCAGGTCCCAGAACAAGACAGATCCATTGTCCCAGCAGGGCCCTGGGCCTGGGCTAGGCTAACAGTAGAGTCCCAGCATGTGAAGCTGGGGCATCTCAAAACCTTCTGCCTTGGCCAGGATGAGGGAAGGGGCAGGGACACCAGTCCACTGTGGACACCAGCCAAGAGCAGCTCCTGGCTCTCCTGGGGCCTGTGAGCCCTGCACCTCGGTCTTCACGCTGGTCTCCACTGACACACAGTGAGACTGAACCTATGACACAGGGTGGCATTTGCGGGTACCTTTGCCTTGCTCTGCCACTTGCTGTACCTAAGACTGCTAGTAAGTGACCTGACCATGCTGGGCCTGGTTCTTCAGCTGATCCAGGTCTGTGAGGAGCAGTCTTCATGGTTGTGAGAACTAGGATTCAACCTGGACATTGCTCTAGAGCTGTTCACCTATTCATTGCTCATGTTCCTGAGAACAGGGTGGGAAGGACCACACGGACCCTGGCCTCTGTGACCCGGAAGGCTGAGGTGTCCCCACATCACTGTTGATATTGGGGCCCTCTTGTTGTGCCATCTCATTCAAGGGTGGAAACAAAGCCACTTGCCCAGAGTCCCTCCCCCAGTCATTGTCTCAGCTGGCAGAGAACTTAGTCTTGACTGTGGCACATGGTCCTGGGCGCGCTCCCAGCAGCAGTCCTCTTCTGACCACGAGGTTCCCCCACAGGCCTCGCCTGGTCCTGGCTCCTGCCTTTGGGGCCCAGGTCGGATGCGGCCCTGGAGGCTTCAAGTCAGCCCCGAGCACAAGAGGGATAGCAGAACCCTGCTCCCCCGAGCTGCTCCAGGCTCCTGCTGCTGGCAGCAGGGGGGCCCTGGGCACAGAGGACCTAGGCTCTGCCCCCAGTTCCAGCTGGGGTTCTGACACCCACCCTCTCTGTGTCAGTCCTTTACCCAAAAATGCTGGTGTGATGGCGCACACCTATAATCCCAGCAACTCAGGAGGCTGAGACAGGAGGATCACAAGTTTGAGGTCAGTTTGGGTAACTTAGAAAGAACCTGTCTCAAAATAAGATTCAAAAAGGGTTGACGATGAAGATCAGTGGTAGAGCAGCCCTGGGTTCCATCCCTACTGTCACAAAGGAAAAAACAATTAAGTGGAATAAAACAGGCATGTTGGGTCTGACCCTTCCAAGTCTGCTGGTGGTTTTAGGCTGGAGGCAGTGCCAAGGGGATCAGGAGGGACGTGGCAGTTATGGAAGCAGAAGCAGCAAGTGTCATCTGAAGGCAAAAGGGGGCTCAGCAGCTAATAGGGACAGTTTTTAACCAGGTGGAAGTCTGGATCTGTTGCTGTCCACACTGCGGCTGGCGAAGGATACAGGCGACAAACTCCTTACTGTTCACAAATTAATCTAGAGTCCAATTGGCAGAAAATAACAGGTTTTATTCAAAGCCAGCTTCAATGGAAATTGGGAGAAACTTTTTGCTTCAAAAATTCCATTTTTGAGTTGGGGATGTGGCTCAAGTGGTAGCGTGCTTGCCTGGCATGCGTGAGGTCCTGGGTTCGATCCTCAGCACCACATAAAAAAAAATGGGGATATTGTGTCCACCTAAAAAAAATAAATAACTAGGAATAAATAAATAAATATTTTTTTAAAAAAATCCATCTTTGGAGGGTGAGGCAACCTTTTAAAAGAGAAGAGGCACGAGGCAGGACAATAGGTAGGACCTACCCACGTGCAATGGAGCCTGTGCTGGGCAGGCCGGGCTCCGCCCTCTGGCGCCCCCCCCCTCTGGTTTGGCCCCGGGCTTCACTCAGCTTGAGGACGTCGCCTTCAGTGTCAGGGACCCCACCTTCCATCTGTGTCAGATCCTGTGTATGGCTGAGAGGGAGGAGCCCCGAGAAGGGAGAGAGGGGGTGACAGCAGTGTCAGAGTGTGGCGCAGGTGCAAGAGCTACGCTCTGTCCGGAGCCCAGGGCCATCCCTCTGTGGCAGGAGGAGCAGAGGGGTGCGGTCGGGCTGTTGGTGGGTCTCTTGCCTCCACTGACCACTCTGCTCTGTGCTTCTCTGCCCCACAGGCCCCTCCACCCAGCGTCAGGTGCAGAATGGCCCCTCTCCTGAGGAGATGGACATCCAGAGAAGGTAACCCACACCCAGCAGTGGCCAGCCTCCCAGCCTCCCAGGTAGTGCTAGGGATGTCCTTTAGTGATCGAGGACACCGTGCAGATGCGGGATGCGGGAGCCCGGCTGTTTTACAGGGAGGCCGCTGGCCTTCATTACGCAGCCCTGCTAATAGCCTGGCAGGTCCCACCCGCTGCCCATCTGTCACTTACTTCCACCTTCCCAAGGGCACCAGGAGGTGGTTTTGACCTGGGGGACTTGCCTATGGAGAGGTAGCTCCCAAGGGTCATGGAGTGAGAGTGATCAGCCCCCACCAGAGGGACAAAGGGCAGTGCTCTGTCCTCAGATCAGAGAAGAGGTCTTAGTGGCCCTCTGTGGGGTGGCTTCCCAGGGTCACATTGCCAGGAACTGCTCTCATACCAAGGCCTTCCTCTTCCCTGACCTCTCCCAATGCCTAGGAGTGGGAGCCTTAGGGTGAACCATCCTGAGCCTCCGTCTCCAACGTGGTGATCATGACCCTGGGCAGGCAGCGTTACCCTTGCTCAGCCCACCTCCGGCGCCTGAGGAACCAGATGGGCAGACGCTTCACAGAGTGGGTGTGACAGGCTCATTTTTGTCAAGCCACACCCACAGACCCGCAGGCCTGCCTTCCAGAGAGCCTCAGGAGTCCAGAGCCTCAGGAGTCCAGCTCTTGGTGGTCCGGGAAGGTCTCAGTCCTCACACCTCCCAGGGGGTTTGTTTCTGGTTGCTGTTTCCCAGATAGGCAGTGAATCCCGGAGGGGTGGCTCAGGTCAGCAGAGGCTCTAGAGAACAGGGCGGGCAGGCAGCTCTGACTGCAGCACAGCCCCAGAGGAGGGCCGGCAGGGTGCCCCAGCAGGACAGGCGGGAGGGAGAGTGCACAGGGGCAGGTGGCTGCTGCCCAGATCCCCCAGCTGACCCCCAGCACTGTTCAGACACCAGCAACACTGCCCCCTCTGACCCAAGGCCCAAGCCAAAGGCAGGCTTGGCCGTGGGCTGCAGGAGGCCGTCCTCAGACCGGGCCAGCCTGAGTCTGAACCGCAGAAGCCAAACACCAGAGGCAGAGACCTTCCGCCCACTGGGGGGTCATTCCAGACCTTGGTGGCCCAGGGAGAGATGACTTCCTGGGGCCCACACAGTGAGGCAGTGACTCCAAGCACAGGAAACTCATTTTCATGCAAATACTATCATAACTTCAGACCCAATTTTTAAATATTTTTTGGATATCTTTATTTTGCTCTGGTTTCTGAGCATGTTGGTCTGCGGAGGTGGCGGGGGTTTGGGTGATGCTCTGGCAATGGGTGGAGAGGCTGGGGGGTGCCACTGGGGCTCCTCACACACCTTCGATGCCCGGGGGGCTTTTGCTTCCCTTTGTTGGCATCAGGCATGCCCCTTACAAGGGCCCAGGGCAGGTGGCCGCGTATTTGCTTAACAGACAAGCACTTGGGGTCCAGGACAGGGAAACAACTTGCCGGTGATCACAAAGTTGTATGAGTCCCGGACGGAGCCAGAAAGCTCCCTGCCCGGAGGAGGCGCCTGTCTTCATCTTCCACCCAGCGCCCCCTCAGCCTCCACAGTCAGAGCCCCACGAGCTCGCCACACACCGAGAATGCTGGCCATGGTCCCCAGACCCACACTGCCCTCCTTCCTCATGTGACAGAGACCAGTCTGGAGCTGGCCCCAGAGCACCCGACCTTGTGCCTGCGTTTGGAGTTCTCTCCACGCAGATACAGCATTGCTGCTGTCCCTAAATGATTCCAGAAGGCCCTTCCTGTGCCACTATCTCAGTCCCTGGATTCTGTGCATGTATTTGTGGGTCACTGTCCTCACTCAGCCAGCCTTTGAGAGCACCCTGAGGCCACTCCGCCACGAGATGTCAGTTCCCACGGAGGTCCATGAAGCGTGGTCTGCAGCTGGCCCTGGGTAGGACGGGGCCTGCAGCCTTTGTGTCTGTTTCTCTGACAACAAACAGTGCCTGGGAATTGCCTCAGGGAGCCCAGCCAAGTGCACTAGGAACAGGTGTTCCTGCGGTAGACCAGTCAAGGCCACGGTCCCCCAAAGCCATGGGCGCCTGTCAGCCCTAGGGGAAAAGCTTGATCAGGCCAGTGGGTCAACCCACACCAGCCGGAGGTTCACCTGGGCTTAGGAGGCCACCACCCATCCCATCTGTGGCCACCACCCACCCGCTGACCGTGCCCCTGTTCAGTGGAGGCAGCTGGCGCAGTGGTTCTCGAGTGCTGGGGGCCAGCTCACGGCTCTCGGAGCCTGAGCCCGTTGTGGATCTGGCTCAGCATCTGCCTGGTTGCCTTGCAGACAAGTGATGGAGCCGCAGCAGCACCGTCAGGAGTCTCTGGAGAGAAGAGCCTCATCCACAGGTGAGAGCCACCCTCTAGCGCCCACACAGAGCTGGTGGTAGCCCCTCCGCCCAGACAGGGCTGGGCATAGCAGGCCTCCAAGGAGCTGCGATAGACCTTAGAGCACAGCAGTCGTTTCAGATGGTGGGGACAAGAGACCAGAGCAGGACTAGGGGCCACTGAGCTTGGTCCAGCCTGTCCACTGGCTTTCTGGCCCTCCTGACACTCGTTCCTCAGTGGACATTCAGGAAGATCCTGATGTGTGTCAGGTGTTGGGCCAGGGCCGGGGACACCAGTGACAGGGCCAGGGACACCAGTGACAGGGCAGAGAGCCCCTATCCAGCAAACGCTCAGGGAAGTACAGGGCTGGGGGAGGAGGCCCAGAGGCGGCTGGGTCCAAGGGGACTATCCTGAGGAGAGGCCACCAGGCTGCCCTCAGTCCTGACTGCAGCTTGGCACATCAAAAGAGGAGGCTGTCGTATTGGCTACAGGCACAGGACGTGTGTCCTTTGCCTTATTTCGTTTGCTCGAGTGTCCTCTGAAGTGAGCAGGTGAACACTGTCCTGGTTTTCTGGGAAGGAAGCCAAGCCCCTGGGCACCCTGTTCTTGGAGGCCAGCTGTGCCTCCCCCACTGCCCTGCTATGTTCCTGGTGTGGGCCGGGCCCGTCTTCAAGGGCCTCCCATGGCTCCGGCCTTGCCAGCCCAGCGCTCGCCCCTCCAGCACCTGGCTGCTCTTTCTGCTCCTCTCCACAGCCTCTTCCCTCCTCTCCCTCACGCCCCCTCACCTAACTCTGCTCTCCTGCCCCATCTGGCTCCATCCCACAGTCCTCCGAGAACTCCCGCTGCACGGGCTCCTGGGCCCCGGGTGCCTGCTCTGAGCTGGGGAGGTCTGTCTGCTTCAAGACTGCTTCCCACGAGGCTGGTCACTGGGCGAGGAGCCTGTGGCTCTTCAGCAGCACCCATCACAGTGCCTGGTGCACGGTGCGGCTCAGGCAGCCTCGGGGGGTGGGGGGCTGGCCGGATGCCCAGTGGAGCCTGGGCACTCGGCACTGCTCCCTCACCATGTCCCCAGTCAGCGGTGGAACCCCGCTCCCTGCCACAGTCCCCCAGGCCAAGGGTTGGTCCCAGTTACATCTGGGAGACAGACGGCACCTGGGAAGCATCTGGCAAGGTGCTAAGTGAGGAGAAGGGACAGAGGCAAAGCCCCAGCTTGCGCTGCCAGAGCCTCCTCTCCCACGGGCAAAGCAGACAAGAGGAGGCCCAGGGGCGCTCCGCACAGTGTGACCCTGTGGGTCCCCCCAGGCTCCCCATCCAAGGAGCCTGGAACAGGCGTCATTGTAACAGGCCCCAGTGCATCCCCTTGATCTGTTCCTATGCCTCTCAGGAGCAGGCTGCCTCTGTCCTTCCTCCCGGGGACCTGAGGTGAGATCCAGGCCCAGCCCCAGCTGGGGCCCAGGGACCAACTGAGCCCCTGTTCCATTCCAGGGCCAGTCCTCCCACCGGGGCATCCCTCATCTGCAGCCAGCGGTCCCCTCTCATGTAGTGGGCCTCCGCCCCCACCCCCACCCCCCGTCCCACCCCCACCCACGGGGGCCGCCCCACCACCACCACCACCCCTGCCGGCTGGAGGCGCCCAGGGGGCCAGCCATGATGACAGCTCCGTGTCAGGACTGGCCGCCGCCCTGGCTGGGGCCAAGCTGAGAAGAGTGCAGCGGGTAAGATCTGGCCTGGGGAGCAGGTCGGGGTGGCACATCTCCCGCCCACTGTCGCCTCCCCATGGAGTCTGAAACAGTGCCCTCCTGTGCCCTCAGCCAGAAGATGCGTCTGGAGGCTCCAGTCCCAGCGGGACGGCAAAGTCTGATGCCAACCGGGCGAGCAGTGGGGGTGGTGGAGGAGGCCTCATGGAGGAGATGAACAAACTGCTGGCCAAGAGGTGGGTCTTCTGCCTCCGACCCAGGGCTGGGGGAAGCTGCTGTCCTGGCTGGGCCCCACGACCTTTGTCACCCAGGGCTGGCCAAGCAGACACAACTATAGCTCACATTTCCGCCCATCCGAGGTGTGAGCCAGGAGTCCTCTGAACTCTAACTCCCTCTCATCAGTGCAACAAAGTGTTGAAGCATCTGCTGCGTCCAGCCGTGTCCTGAGCAGGAGGGCCTTTGGGGGAGTTTCAGAGATGTCCCAGAGGGAAAAGAGGACAGTCCCTGCACTTGGGATGTCAATGGGGAAAGATGCAGTCCCAGGCTACGAGTGCTCGGGTGGCTGTGGGGGGGAAGTGCCCCTTCCTCTGGGACTCAAGGCCCAAACACACCCCGGCTGGCTCCTGACCAGATGGGCACCTGGACAAGTCGCCTCCTGCACACCCTGATCCCCACACAGTCTGCCTGGGGGCCAGACGGGTCCAGCAGGGAGGCAGCTCCTAGGTTCTGGGTCAATGTGAAAACCTCAGGCATCTTTTCCTCCCCTGTGTCTAGGAGAAAAGCAGCCTCCCAGACAGACAAGCCCACAGACAGAAAGGAAGACGAAAGCCAGACGGTAGGCCCACCCGCTCGCTTGGCCTGCTCCGCGCAACTACCCGGCAGGCCTTGGGCTCGGGGGTGTCCCGGCTGGGACATCCACATGATGGATGCCTCACTGGGTGACTCGTGGGAGTGGCAGGAGGGCCTCCCTGGTGCAGGTCCAGGCAGGTCTGCACCCCAGGCACTTCCAGCCAGGCAACGCTCCCTGGAGCTGCTACCCAGCAGGGGACAGAGGCTGGCAGAAAAGCCAGGCTGCCTGGGAGTGCATTGCAAGGATCCCAGAGCCCTGGAGGGCCCTGCGGCCCCTCCCCTTCCCTGGCCCAGGGAGCTCAGGCACAGTAGCTCTCCGGGGGTGGGACCAGACTGCGCCTGTATGGGGAGGGCCTGGTGAAGTCCAGGGTGGTTTCTATTTTCAAATTATTCCTGATCCCAAAGACTACACCTCAGCCCACCAAGTCCAACAGGAGTGGCCGGGAAGCCATGGCAGAGGGACCTAGAAGCCCGGGCACCCGTTCTTGGCCACATCCTGGGCATGGTCTGGCCCCTCAGAGCCCAGAGCCCCCTCTTGCCCTTGTACGGCCAGTTCCCTCCCTAGGTTAAGACGGATTCCTCCTGATACCCCGAAGCTTAGGGGTGAAGTACAAGGGGCAGGATGAAGAGGGACTAGAGGTGCCACGGTGGGGACCAGGGCCCATGACCCTCACCTTCCCCTCCCAGTCACCAAACAAGCAGCTTGTGTCTGGTGGGCTCCAGCCTCCTGCCACCTACTCTTCAAGCTGCAGAGGGTGCCTTGCTCGGGCCTGGGCACATGCAGTTCCCTCTGCCCACCAGCCTGCCCCTCTCGCCTGCCCTTGTCTACATAATCCTTCCTCTCTAGAATGTGACCTCCTGGACCCCAGGCTGGAAGGCTCCCTCTGGTCCCCCTGCCCCTACTTCTCCCCAGCCCTGTGCTGTTCCGATGGCTATGCTGACGCACTTGCTCCAGCCAGGTCACAGGCCGGCGACCAGGCAGGCTCCTCGCTCACCCACTGTCCCCTGCTGCACACACGGTGGGGTCAGCCAACCTCCCCGCCACAAGTTTCTACAAGTGCAGAGGCCTGCGTGGCCAGGAGCCACAGGTGGGTTCAGGGTCACTACCAAGGGTCTCATTCCGGCCACAGCAGAGGGCCTTAGGTCTGCACAGGCTCTTCTTACCGCGACACTTCACAAAAAGAGGAGTGACTCTCACACCCAGGATCCAGAAGAGAACCCCAGTCTTGAAATCTTCAGCCCCATCTTCCCCTACCCCACCCCTACTGGGGTTGGACTAGGGCTGCCCTACCACTGGGTCACCCCATCTCCTGGTCCTTTTATTGTCATTTTGAGACAGAGTCTCACTGAGTTGCCCAGGTGGCCTAAGATTCGAGATCCTCCTGCCTCAGGCTCCTGAGTCCCTGGAGTGACAGGCGAATGCCACTTCACAGGTTTCCTCCTCTTTTATAATAGGCCTGGCCACTGCTATTTCTTGCTCCCCTGGGCCCTTCTCACACCAGAACTAGCCTCCAAGTCCCGCACACAGGCACGCACATGCTGACTCTCACAGCAGCTGGTATGTTCTTTTTCGTGCCTTTCAATATTTTCCAGATTCTCTTCAGTGAACATGTACTAGTTTTATAGTTAATAGAGAACAAATGATTATTATTTAAAAGAAGAAAATAGCTCCCAAATCAGAGTCAAGTGACACAGGCTGACACTCTGCCACTTGCCATCCTTGTGATTATGTTACTGCTCTGTGCACCAGTTCCACCCTGAGCACCCCTCGGCTTGCTCTAGGCTGCATCGCTGACAGGAGGGTGTGGGCAGCCTCTTACCCAGCCCAATCGAGGCACCAGTTCCCTTTTATGCAGGGAAGACTTTTTAAAATTATAATATAAAGACATTGAAGGAAAAACATTCTAATTTCTTAATGACTTTTATTGTACCCATATTACATTTATTCTTGTTGGCTTCTTTGGGCCCTGGGTTCCAGACACATGTGTTGATTGACATAATCCATTACTCAGCTCTTTTTTTAATATATAACTTTATTTTATTTATTTTTATGTGGTCCTGGGGTTGAACCCAGTGCCTTGCTCGTGCTAGGCGAGCGCTCGACCCTGAGCCCAGCCCAGCCCCACTCAGCTCTGGTGGTAATTCTCTTCCTCAGGACCAGAGACTCCCAGAATTCATTTGCTCACCCCACAGGTATTTGGGGGTTCCTGCAGATGCCAGTCTGTTCCTGGTGTGGGGACAAATGGTGTGTGAACACAGGCTGGCCCCTCACAGGTCCCTGTTTGGACAGGGGGTAAGGTATTTGGCTTTGCACCCAGAGTCCCCTCCCCAGCCTCACATAGACCAGATAAGAAGAAGCAGAGTGCAGACCGAGCATGACAAGGGCAGTGACAGATGCAGACATGGGCTCTGGGTCAGGAGGACACTAATGCAGTCTAAGGTGGCAGGCGTTCCTGGTCAACGTCCTGCATAGCAACTGCATATGTGTGGTTCAATAAAAGCAGAAGTCATGTTTACTTAATAAATGTCATTTTCTTGATAGTGAAAAATCCTTCCAAAACACGTGCCCCCGTCATGTTAGCTTCATGACTGCCAAATTGCTCACATCTGTTGAGCATCTCTGCAGATTCCTGGCACAGACGTGGCCGACACACACTTGCCCACTTGGTAGACCTGCCGTGAGCTCTGTGTTGCAAGGGAGGGACCAAGAGACACTCTGCTCCTGTAGAACTCACTTGCAGCCTCCTGGGAGAGGCAGAGATAAGCACCAGAGGTGGCCCAGAGCCCCGTTAGAAGCCAGATTTGTGCGGGCTGTTGGGGGATGAGCTGGAGAAGGCCAGGTGGGGCTAGAATACAGTGCATCTGTAAGGAACGCAGGGAATGAAGCCTGGGGCTACAGGTGGCATGTGTAGGACTGGGGAGGGCTGGCAGAGGCCACATAGACACCAGGCAGGCACCAGGCCCGGGCCTGACCCAGCAAGCCTCCTGCAGAGCCAGGAGGTCAGACCTCAGTTCAGCTCAGCCCGGCAGCAATGGGGATGAACTGCAGGCTGCTGGGGGAGGGCAGAAAGCTCAGTGCAGATTCTTGCATATTGTGCTGACTCAGTGAAAGGGAAACAGGTGCTCCTAGGGTGGTCCACAGGCAGGAGCGTGGCTGCGGCAGGTCTGTGTCACCCCCGCAGCCAGTGCACCCGCGTGGCTCTCGGTAGGACACCTGGTCCACACAGGGGCCATGTAGTGCCAACTTGACTGGTGTTACAGGGACCCCCAAACCATCTCACTCCTCCAGAAATGCAGCCCCGGCCCTGCCAGCTCCTTCACTGGCCATGGCAGAGAGGACGTAGTTAGGAGGGTGATGAGCTCAACAGAGGAGGGGCCTGGCCTACAAGGAAGGGCTGGGACCCTGAGCTGGTTCTGCTGGCCACAGGTTCCTCAGGAGGGGGAAGTGGTTGAAGTGGGTGATGGGCAGAAGCCTGTGAGCCCCTCCACAGGGCACTGGCAAGGAGAATGTAAGACCCCTGAGGTCAGGGCTGGGCAGGGTTTGGGGACCAGAAGGGAGCTCTGGGCCCTCCTCTGCAGAGCCTGACCTCTTTCCCATCTGTCACGTGCCCTGCTGGGATCTGGGTTCTCGTTCTTCAGTGTTGTGTCTTCTTTTGCTGCTCATACAATGGTTACGCTTTCACCGAGACATTTGGAAACGGGCTCTATCAGTGACCCTGGACAAAGGCGTCCTGCCCTAGCCCAGGCGGCCTCCCTGAGGAGACTGACGGAAGCAACTTTCTCTCCCGTTTTTAGGAAGATCCCAGCACCTCCCCCTCCCCAGGGACCCGAGCCGCCAGCCAGCCCCCTAACTCCTCAGGTAAGAGGGTTCCACCTGCCTAGGAGCCTCCAGTCTTAGAGCAGGAGGGAGGGACTCTCGGGAGTAGAGCCCAGGCCTGTGGAAGCCCAGCTCGTGAGCTCCCACGTTTCCCCGGGAGGCTGAGCAGAAGCACAAGGGGCACTAGAGCAGGCCCCTGAGAGGACCCTGTGTCCCACTCGAGGGAAGGCACTTGCCAGCAGCGCCCACCCCAGGATGGAGACAGCGCCTAGAGCTTGGGGCACACTCTGGGGCCAGCACGCGTATGAGTATTTTTTTTTGTCATTATAGTTTTGGGTTTTGTTTTTCTGGTGCTGGGGATGCTACCAGGGCCCCCCCGTGCTAGACACACGCTGCACCACTGAGCCACACAGCCAGTCCAGGAGGAAGTTTAAACATTAGAGTCTGGGTCTCCTGGTAATGCCAACTCGATCTGCAGATACCACCCAGCCATCTCACTCCCCCAGAAGTGCAGCCCCACCCTGTCAGCTTCCTCCAGGCAGCTGTGGCAGAGGGGCCGTAATCAGGACAGCCGGATGGGTCAGCAGTGGGAAGAAGATGCAGGGGCGGCCGCTCTGTAACGCCTTGCCCTGCACCTGCTCCACGCCAGCATGCGGGCACCCCGCGGGTCAGGCTGCCCCAGCCCAGGCCGATGCAGCTCTTGCCGGCCCTTGGTGCATCTCACAGGGTTGTGGTGCCCCCCACACCTTGGCACAGGTAGCTGGCTATGGTGGGATCACCAGTCCTCCCTCTGGCTCTCCCTATGTTGACTCACCAAGAGCCACAGAGTCTCGGCTGGTACACAAGCTGTTGAGCCGTTAAGTGGTTTCCCCAGCTAGGAGCTGAGGCCGCTTATGGCTATGTGTTTTGCTTAAGGCCATAGCCCTTATGGTCCTAGCTCTTGTGCCTGCAAGCCTGAGAGGTGGCTTTGAGGAGACCTGGCCAAGACCTGAGGTTGGTCTGCAGGTCTCAGCTCCAGCAGAGCAGCCTCCTCACTACCCCTGGGATTTTGCCTTCTGGCCCTGCGCATCCTTTAAAGCCACTGAATTCCCTCTAGGCCAACACATGTCTTTAGTACAATGAATTATAAACTCGTCCAGGTTGAGTATCCCAAATCCAAAATTCAAGTGCTCTGAAATCCAAAATTTTCTGATAAAGTATGCAAATATTCCAGAATCTGAAGCCCTTCTGGTCCTGATCATTTGGATCAGGGACACTCAGCCTGTAGTTCTTACTTAAAAGACAAACCAGCCTCCAACCAGGCAGGAGAGCGCTGGTGGGACGCAGGGGAGGCTGCAGCAGGAGTGAATGGGATTCCAGGCACCCGGCCACCCCACGGCCACTGGGGCAGTCCTGCTTGCTCACCCTGTCTGGGAGTCCCTGCTCCCTACCCGCGGGACCTACTCCTTAAGAGATGGGGCCGTGGTGAGCAGAGGTGAAACCAGGTCACACATCAAAGAACAGGAGCCTGAATCCTGAAGCGGGGGAGACGGGGTGACAGGGGGTGACCTGGGCACCAGGTACAGCTCCACTTGAAGCAGATCTTCCTGCCAAGGGCTCTTGCACCCTTCCTGCAGGGGGCCCTGCTAGAGTGTGTAGGTCCGGGTGGCCCGGGTCCTCTCAGATGCATGGCTCTTCATCTATGAAATACATTGACAGAGGCTGGTCGGAAGCCCTGGGAGCGGAGCAACTCGGTGGAGAAGCCTGTGTCTTCATTACTGTCCAGGTGAGCTGCCCTGGGAAGGCCTGAGCCGCGACCTGGTGGGCAGAGGCGGGTGCTGGCGCCGATTCACGTGCCTGTCTCATTCCATTGCCGTAGAACCCCGTCTGTGGCTAAGAGCCCTGAAGCCAAGAGCCCCCTTCAGTCACAGCCTCACTCTAGGTACCGAACAACCCTCCTGCGTCCCAGGCTCTGGGGCTTCCTCTGTCCCCTTTTCCACAACTAACACCCCCAGCCCTGTCTCGCGTGGTGGCACTTAACAGCTTGCTCTGGGAAGGGTGGTGTGTCCCCTCAGACCTGGGGAAAGGTGGAGCTGGAGGGACTTCAGGGTCACACAGGCCAGCCCCTTCCTCTCCTGCCTAAGGAGAGGCCAGGCCTGGAGGAGAGAGGCTGCCAAGAGGCAGGAAGTGAGCTAGGCGTGAAGGGGGGCAGCCACGTGGACAGAGCCAGACAGAGCAGCTCGCCTGCTGAAGCTGGGCCCTGGGCTCAATAGTCCAGGGCCGCCCCACAGCCGCCCCTGCAGTGTGGCGCCCTTCCCCGCCTGCAGCGCACAGAGCCAGCCTCTCGCTGCTAACTACACTTGCTAAACCCAACCCAGTGTGACCACAGGACAGAACATTGGGAACTGAGCTTGCCCCAAAGATCAGAGACAGACAGCCCCAGTGTGCCTGCATTTGAAGGCTTCTAGAGCCCGCCCCAAGAAACATCTCCACTGTCCACTGCTCACTGAAGGAAGAGCCTCCTGTCACAGGGCAGGTAGCAGTGGAGATCGGTCTTGAGAATGAGCAAGGTAAGGAGCAGGGCCCCGGCCTAGCCCGGCAGTCCTGGCCATCAGCAAAGAAGAGGGACAGAGAGGGGACTCGCAGCCAGCCAGGCTGTGTGCCGGGAACAGCCTCTGTCTGCCCAGAGGAGTTCCGTACAAACAGGACAGCCGTGGGTCCTCCAAGGCACAGGCTGTGTCGTGGCCAGGGACAGGCTGTCGGGAGCGGGCTGGGCAGGCCTCTGGATAAGACATCATGGGGACAGCTGCAACAGCCCCCGTAAATTCAAAGACAGGACCCCGTGGCTGGAGAGCAGAGGGGGACGGGAGGGCTGGAGGAAGGCAGCTGAGAGGCTGGCTGGAACTAGTGCCTGGGAGGTCACTCTGGCTGCAAGGAAGGTGACCAGAGCAGGGGAGGCTGGAGCCTGCAGCCCCCCAGCACAGCTGGCCTTGCCTCTGGTGGACTTGGGTCGGCAGCCATGTTCTGCGGGCAGTTGTCCCTCACTGGGCAGGAACGTGGAGTGGGGTCTCTTTCCAGCTTGGAGACAAACCTGTCCTCGATTTTCATAGATGGCTCCAAAAAGGGCAGGCTTACCTCTCCCTCAGACGCGGGCAGAACCCTCCCCCAGGCTCGGGCTTGCTGTGGGTACACTTGCTTCTCCCAGAGGGGCTGTCAGGCTGAGGTGGGAGAGCTGAGGCCTGGAGAGATGAAGCAGCTGTCCCACGTCCCAGTACCTCCTGCTGCAGTGGGACCTGCAACCCACAGAACGGGGCTGACGTGCCAGGGCCCCCTGGCTGGGTGCACTTGCCTGCTGGGACCACACTGGGCCTTTCTAAGTCCATCGAGGAGGGTACAGGGCACCTCCCTCTCCTCCCGCATCCTCCTTCCCCACAGAGCACATGGTCCTGGGTTCACCAGCCCGTTGAAGTCTGAGGCTGACCCTCAGCAGCCGAGCTGGAAGGATGTGTGCATGGCAGCTGTCACGCCCACAGGCCTCTACCTGACTCGGGCCACATTCATTTCCTTGGAACAGGCTCCAACCACCATTCTGTTCACAGGGGGAGGAAAATTGGTCCAGACCACATGTCTGCCCTGCGGCACCAAGATTCCTTTCCAAAAGACCCTGTCGTTAGATTGGTGCTGTGCGAGGAGATGGGGGGATGCCCAGGGAGAGGCATTCAAATTCAGATCAGTCACCCTTAGTCCAAACCTCTTCAAATAAGTACAGACCATGGAAGCCAAAGCAGCAGCGCCACGTCCACGAGGTCTCTTGAAGGAGAGAGGCAGCACCAGTTACCAACACCAGGTGCTGGTGTGGGTGGGAGGCAGTGTCCTCAGGGCATGGCTGCCTGGGACTTCACGTTGAACTCAATGCCACACTGCTGGGTTTCCCCAAGCCTCGGCTTAGCCAGGAACACAGTCCCCACACTGAGGAGCAGGACACTGGTGCTCCTTCCCCAGGGGGCAGTGGGTGGGTGGAAGACAACTTCCATCAGACCTTCTTGGAGGAGGAATGTGCTCATGGCACGCACAGGCACCCACAGGCCCCCTCGGCGGTGGACACTGGGCATTACTGACTTTTTTGAGCAGCCTAACAGTGACATGGGTGAAAAGCACCAGGACTACCAAGGGAGTAGCCTGACCCTTGCGGGGGACCTCTAGCACCCCAGACTTGCCCAGTGCGGGGCGCCTGCAGGCTCTGCCGCCCACTGGTCTGCACCTGCCGTTCCTCTCCCAGGGTGAAGCCTGCTGGGAGCGCTAATGACGTGGCCCTGGATGCCTTAGATCTGGACCGAATGAAACAGGTGAGTGTCTCCTTTCCTCAGGTCTGAGGCAGCCATCAGGCATGCCCAAGGGGGCCACAAAGGCAGGGAGCAGCCAGAGGAGGAAAGGGGGTGCCCATGTTCATAGGTTTTCCCCAGCCCCTGCTGTCACCAGAACAAAGTGATCCTCCACCTTCTGGTCCCCCCAGCCTATCTCAGGGGACCTCTCCCGTGGGGCAGCCCTGGGTTTCACCAGTGTGCACCTGAAGAGTGGTGGAGCATCTGCCCCCGCGCCCCATACTGTCCTTCCCCAGCTGGGGATGCACCAAGGGCTGCGAGGGGCAGGGTGAGGGCGAGACCCCCAGCCCTTCACCTGGAGGCTCTGCCCACAGGAGATCCTGGAGGAGGTGGTCCGAGAGCTCCACAAGGTGAAGGAGGAGATCATCGATGGTGAGTGGGCTGCGCGGGCAGCACTGTCACTGGGGCCCCAGGTGGAGTGTCCTGAGAAGGGGCAGGGTTGTGTGGGGAGCAGGGGAGGCAGTGCTCCTGCCAGCGGAGGTGGGGCCAGGACCCCTTGTCCCCCCAGGCTCTGGTTGTGGGGACCCAGCTCAGGAGAATTGAGTGGTTTGCCTAAGAACCCCACCTCCCTGGTGGTGTGCCCCTGCTGAGGCCACCACCTCCCCGGGCTGCTGGAAGATGGGCCCTGGTCCGTGGCGGAAGCCCAGCGGATATTCCAGACTTCTCGTTCTTTATTTCGTTATCTGTCATTGACATTGCTCTCTGGCCTGCTACCTCTAGTCACTGGTTTTGGAGTTCTGAGGGCTGCTGCCTTCCTGGGAGGGGGAGCTGGGAGCCAGGAGCTGAGCTCCACCATAGCCTGCCTGGCCCCAGCAGCCTCTAGCCCCAGAGCAGGGCGGGTCCCGTGACATCCGCCCAGGCCTTTGAGGAGCCGTCTCAGATCTGCAGCCAGAGGAAAGGGGAAGCTTGGGCAGGGCTTGCTGGCCCAGGACAGAGAGGCAAAGTGCAGCCTGCACCACCCCCACCTGCCGTCCCCTCCAGGAAGGTGAAGTCTCAGGCTGGGTGGCTGGCTGTGGGCCCCAGGGCATCAGCAGTGACCTGGACGAGAGAGTCCTGTGAACTCAAAAGTGGCAAAGGCTGATGGCAGACTCCAGAGGGCAGAGGGTCTGTGGGGGGCCGCAGACCCAGGCCCCTCCCGCTGCCTGGTCCTGGATGTTGGCTCCTGGGCCCAGGAGATCTGTCCAGGGAGAGGCCAGAGTTGACACGGAGGACACAAGAGGCCCTGGGAGGGTGCAGGGAGGGCTGTGGGGGCGCAGGAGAGGAAAGACGAGCTGGGGGCAGCTGGAGGAGGCGTGCACAGAGTCAGGACCTGGCAGTCAGTAAGGTCTCCTGCTGCCACTGGGGAGCCCAGCACATGGCGCCCACTTTGTCAGGGAGGGTCCCAGGTCCTCTGAGCAGACCCAGATGCCACCCATCCAGACCCTATGAAGACGCCTGAACCTCGGCACACGGGGTAGTCCCCCCACCCCGCCCCAGAGAGCCCTGCCCCACTCTGGAGCTGAGGCATCAGAGAGGCCTGGCCATTCCAGACCCCAGCCAGCAACTTCTGTGCCAGAGCAGGTGGTGGCAGCAGGGACTGTGGCAGGAGTGGCCTGTGAGACCAGAGACCTGTGCCAAAGCTGCCAGTAGGCCGCGCCCTGTGTGGCCTCTGGCAACCCATGGGGGCTTCCAGCAGCCAGGGCAGGTCCACGGGGTGTGGCAGGCTCCCCACGGCTGCCCCTGAGCCTCCCTCTCTGTCCTGTCCCTCAGCCATCAGGCAGGAGCTGAGTGGGATCAGCACCACGTAAGGCGACCACCACCCGGAGGACAGCAAGGAGCCCCCACCCGCCTCCAGCGCACATGGAGCGTGGGGGCCAGGATGCGCTCCACCTAAGTCTCAGCCTGTGATCAAATTCAAAACGAGGAAACAAAGTTCAACTCCTGGATTTTTTTAGATTCTATCTGACACAGAATACCAGGTCTATTCTCTTTTTTTGTATTTTATATTTGCTTATTTAAGTGTACATTTCTTTGGTTTATAGAGGACACCCCCAAGTCAACTGCTTCATTAGATGGTTTCCAGGTTTCCTCCAGGTGACGCTGTGAGCCCCTGAGCTGGCAGCGAGGGGCCGGCTGGGCTCGGCATCCCGCACAGCACGGCCGCCCGGCAAGCTCCGCCCCAGCACCTCGGTGTTGTCTGTCCACGCACCGCGTGTTATGTCCACACAGTAATAAACCACTTACTGTCCACACCATGGGCTTTGGCTTTCACTCTCTCCGGCTCCAGGTCGCCCTGGTTGGGGACGCCCCTTGTCAGGGAAGGGCCCAGGGCCAGGGTGCGCAGCAGTGAGAGCAGCGAGACAGGCCTCCCGTGGGAGCTAGGCTCAGTCAGAACATCCCCGGGACCCGCGGGGTGGGCCGGGACGTCTTGGGCACCACCCCCGGATGTTCTGGGGCCTCTGGTCTTCCTGAAAGGAGCCACACGCCCCGGGGCCCCCAGCTGACAGGCCCTCAGCCCAGCCACTGCCTGGACCACCACAGGGATGTGTGCTCTGCCCCGCAGGGTCCGGAGGATGTACCTGCTCAAGTGGGGAAGTGGGCGCCAGGGCTGAGGGCGGCGGTAGGGAAAGCCACCTCCACCTGCCACACAGGCTCCCCTGCGCCTCACAGAGGACCCTGGCCTGGGGTGGCAGCGGGGACAACCCACAGGCCACCTGGGGTGCATCCCCAGCACTAGCTCTCCATTGCAGCCAGGGCAGGGTCTGAGCCTTGGCCTGGGGGACCACCATCCATGAGGCCAGGAGCCCAGGCAGTGACAGGCCTTGATGTCCTGGCCATCGTCCCTCTGGCCACCCCATGTGACTCCCCGCCCCACCCCAGATCCCACCTCAGGCCCAGCTACTCTCGGGGCCCAGCCTGGCTGATGACGAGAGGCCTGGTCCTTGAGGTACTGTACCTCCCTGGGGATTCCCGAGCCCTAAAAGTCAGGCACGTGGTTGTTCTCCAGTCAGGAGGAAGAAGCCCGGCTCTGGGAGGCGGGGGCTCCCACCTCTCTCTGCGCCCCCTTGACACTGCGTACTCAGGGCAGTCTCCAGGGGCACCCCCAGGCTCAGGACGGGCCAGGCTACTGACAGGCACTGCCTGGGGGACATGTGCTGGTGGAGGGGGCAGAGGTCAAAGGACTGCTGTGGGTGGGGTGGGGGCTGGACTCCCCCCAGGGTCCCCTTGGCCCTCGGGCAGGCTTGTGTGCACAGGGAGGGGCTGCCTGCCCAGGCTCAAAGTCCTCCTGCTCAGAAAGAGCCTTTGGCCCAGGCCTTGTCCCCGCAGTATCTCAGCAGTCAGACCACTCGGGGACACCTGTGCCAGGCACCAATGAGGCCACTCCCAGGCAGAGGGCAAGGACTACAGCAAGCCCTGCTTCCGCCTCCATCCGCAGGTCAACAGCAGCCCTGCCGCCTGTTGGGTGGTCCCTGGCTCAGCCAGCCCCACAGCCTCACCCCAGCACTTAGGGGGTGCTCCACGGCTGAGCCCACACCCGTCTCTTTGTGGAGGGAGGGCCTCACCCAGCACCCGCTGCTGCCTGCCTGCTGTAGACACCATGTCACACTAGCCCAGCCCCAGGGCCAGGGAGCTGACCAGAGGGCTACCCCCCTAGTCGCAGCTAAGGGCCTGAGATGGAGCAGAAGTTGGACAGGTCCAGGGGGCCAAGCTGAGAGCTCAGCCAGGGTGGGAGGAGCCAGGGGTCCCCAGTCTGCTGCTGTGATTTCAACACGTGCAGGGCCTTCTGCCATCCATGCACCTGGAGGTCACTATCCACAGTGGCATGGCCATCAGGAACACTGCCTGAGGCCACCACCCAACCTAAGCCTCAGTGAAGGGGCTACAAGTTGGAGCTGGCCAGGAGGGGGCGCCACTGAGGCACAGGCACCGCCTGCCTGGGTCTGGGGTCTTGTCTTCTGGGAGCCAGGCTGGGGCCTAGGACCACAATGCACAGACTATGAAAACAAGCACTGGGTTTAATTTAGGGCACAAGAATCCAGAGAAGTCAGCTCCGTGGGGATCATGGGCCCAGGGCACCCTGGTCCAGGTGGCAGAGCCAGGCCTTGCCCATTGAGCCCAAAAAGGTCCACTGAGAGTCCCTGTGCAGAGCAGGATGCAGCCTGGGCCCACTGTTGACAGGCATGGCTGCTAATGGCAACTCCCAGGGCTCTGCGGACAAAAGCCAGAATCGATGCAGCCAAACCCATCTGGGGGCACTGCCCATGCGCACGGGGGATGCAGCAGCCAAACCCGTCTGGGGCACTGCCCATGGGCACGGGGGATGCAGCAGCCAAACCCGACTGGGGCACTGCCCATTCGCACGGGGTATGCAGCAGCCAAACCCGTCTGGGGCACTGCCCATGGGCACGGGGGAAGCAGCAGCCAGCCGGGCAGTGTGGGCGGGGTCGGGTCGCAGGCTCCCTGGCAGGGCTCACAGGCGGTCCTCTGCCAGCTTGCACACCCGCTTCACCCTGGCATAGGGTCCCAGGGAGTCCTCGAACACAAAATCCCAGAGCACCTTCACCCACGAGTGGTGCTGCGGCAGGTGGTCGTAGTACTCGGGCGCGATCTTCCGCACCTGTAGAGAGGGCAGGGGTCAGGGGCCGGCCCCAGCCACCCACTCAAGCACACGTGCACATGCACACCAGCTGTCCCAGGGTGCTGGAGTCCGACTGGCCTCCAAGCAGCCCGCATAGCACAGGAGCCCTGCCTGGCCCACAGCAGGCACCCCTCCATGGCTGCTCTGTGACTCTTGGGTCTTGATTCTGGCTCTGCCAGTGCCCCAGGCAGGCACTGCCCTCTGGGAGCCTGTGCCTTCCCCTCTGTAAAATGGGGATAGTGAACAAGGGCACCTGCTCAGGGGCTGTGGAAGTTGTAAATGAGCCCAGGTCCATGCACAGCCCAGCCACTGCCTCCCGGCTGCACTCACACGAGCCTTCTCACGCAGAGGCCCCGGGTACACACACAGCCTCACGCTCAGGCCCCACCTGCTGCCCACGCTGGTCACCTCAGTTGTTTCTGACCAGACAGATGCTATCAAAGCACCAGCCAGAGCCGGTTGAGCTGGGGAACAACGAGGGCTCCTCCCCCACTTCTGCCCTTCCTCGAAATTCTCCAACTCCCGGCCCAGGGCCCAGGGCTCCAGGGAGAGGCCACCGGAGGTTTCCCCTCCCTGCAGCCGAGCCACACTCCTTAGGTTGCAAAGCACAAGGCCCACCCTGTCCTGACTGGCCAGCTCTGGACCAGGAGGGCCCCTGTCAAAGCCGTGACAAGACATGAGCAGGGACAGGGAGTCAGGAGACAGGAAGCACAGAGCCTCCCGTGAAGAATCGCTAATGCAGCTGCAGAAGAGAAAGAAAGAAGCACAGAGAGGGGGAGTGACTTGCCCAGAGACACAGCGCATGAATGTCACAATAGGGTGCAAGCCTCCTCTCATTGAACCAAGCCCCTAACTGTAACACTCCTGAGACTCCACCCTCCTTGGATTTGCCCCCTTACTCTCCAGCCTGGCACTTGCATGTGTCTTGTGACCTTTCCTTTGCCCTGAAGACCACAAATGAGAGTGACCATCACCGGAGCAGCATACAAAGGATAAAGCACCTGGGTTTGGGCCGGGGGCCTCTCGGGGCCCCCTCCTCACATGTCTGTCCGGCCCTTGCCCCCCAGCCCTGCCTAGGCCCAGCACGTACCAGGGGCAGGTTGCAGCCCGGGATGCTGGGGAAGTCGTGGTGCTCCATGTGGTAGCCCACGTTGAAGGTGATCCAGTTGAGGGGCCCGTAGTAGGAGTAGGTCTCGTGGCCCTTGAGGAACATGTAGTGCTCAGCCACGAAGTGGCCGGAGATGGGGTGCAGGCCCAGGCCCAGCAGGGAGCTGGCCAGAAGGTAGGCCACAGGCTTGATGCCCCAAAGGGCAAAGATGGCGGCGTCGACCAGCAGCTGCACCAGGGTGTTGAGCACCTCCATGCGGGTCACGGCCTTGGGGTTGACACAGAGCGGCCGCAGCGAGTAGAAGAAGGGCTGCAGCACCAGCCACAGCAGCTTGCGGGCCGGCGTGCAGAAGAGCCAGCCCTCCAGGCGCGTGGGGATGTCCACGTCCAGCCCATCGCCGCCCAGGTAGCGGTGGTGGTCCACGTGGTACTTCTTGAAGGAGGCCGAGTAGGGCACGCCCATGGGCAGGTTGGCGAAGATGGCGAACCAGCGGTTGTGGGCAGGGCGGCCGGTGCCGAAGGCAGTGTTGTGGGAGATGTCGTGGATGGCCAGCGTCAGGGAGTGGTTCACGCAGCCGCCAAAGGCATAGGCCCAGAAGAAGAGCCAGCGCCAGGCCAGCCCCTGCACCAGCCAGCAGGCCAGCAGCTGTGACAGCACCAGCCCTGTCACTGTCCACTTGATATATGGGTCTGGCCGCATCAGGTCCTTGATGGCCGGGTACTTGGCTGCAGTGAGACAGGGGGAGCAGGTGGCTCAGTGAGAGAGCTCGGCTGGCTCCACCCTCCCTGTGCTCTTCCAGCACCTTCCATCTGGCCATGCCCTTCCCTCTCTCCTTCCACCCTCCAGCAACCCACGCCCTCAAGGATGCCTAGGAGGGATGGGCCACCCTCGCACTTAGGAGTACCCAGCCTGAAGGGAAGCAGAAGCAGGGGACCTGCCACCCCTCCCCTGGGGGTCTGGGGAGATTTCCCAGAGTGGGGGAATTTGCCACCAGCCTAAATACAGGGCAGGGGTCACCACGGGTCCCAGAAATGCCAGAAATCAGAGCCACGGCAGAGCCAGGAGCCACCTGCCCCAGAGCCCCTGCTAAACACGCACCGCCGTGCTGTGGCTGTGGGGCCAAGACACAGCACAGCAGAAGGACAACATGGACTGGTCATCCCCAAACTCATCAGGCCCCTGGGGGTGGCCACGGGAGGGGAACTGCAGGACTCCTGCTTGGCCTTGAAACAGACCGGATTTGGACACCCTCTGAATTAGGAGGAACTTCCCCTGTGACCCCTGACCCCAAACCCTGACAGGGGCCGAGCTGGGAGGGAAGACGGCAGATGGCCTGCCCGACCTAGCCGGCCGACCGAATCTGCGCATGTCCGCTTCCTGCCTTCCTCTGGCTGGCCTGCCGCTGCCTCCGAGGCTTTGAAAGTCCTGCTGCCCTTAGGAGTTTCAGAGACGGCGCTTTTGAAACCATCAAGTTTCTTCCATCTTCTTCAAAGCTGGCTTTGATTAAAACCTATTTTTCTATCAATTTGACTCCAAATATTTCTGGAGCTGGGAGCAGAGCAGCTAGCCCCTTCCCTGGGCCGGCGGATCCACCCGGTAACAGCCCCGAGATCTTAAAACAAACAAGAACTGCAGGAAATATGATAAAGGGTTGAAGGCATGTGTTTGGGGCCTTAGGTGCTTATTAGAGATCTTTTGTACTTTTCTGTATTTTGTTTTACAGAAAAGAAACAATGTGGGTGGGAGGAGGCCACCCAGGCCAGGAGCAGCAGCCCTGCAGGACCGGGAGGGTGGGTGCCCGGTCCCCGGGACAGGACAGCTCTGCCTTCTGGAGACCTCTGCAGCTGCTCAGCTGGAGGAGCCAAGGTTCAGTGACAGGAGCTGGGTGCAGGGCTGGGGTTCATCATATACTCAGGGGGACAAGCATCCAGGCCTGCTCTGTCCCCTATCCCCTGGGCAGGAGCAGACAGGCCCTCAGAGATGGAGCCCGTCCTGTCATGCAGATGGGGAAGCCAAGCGCAGCAGGGCCTCAGGGTCCCCAGGGTTTCCCGCATCAACCCCCAACCCAATGAGTAGCCAGCAGCCTTGGCTCACCCTCCTCAGCGCTGGCCTGTGGAGAGGGTCTCCCAGGGCCGCCCCAGGAACTGGGGACCCAGAAGTGGAACCCACCAGCCAAGGAGAGCTCCTGCCTCAGCTCCTTCTGTATCCCAGAGTGTCACTCTCCTTTGGCACCCAGAATGGGGAGGATGTGACGCAGAGCAGGGCCCCCTCAGGGCCCCATAGCCAGGGCCCTCCTTCCCTCAGCCTAGGAGACAGGGCCCGGTTATACGGATCTCCAGTGAGGAGATCTGGCTCAGGACGATGCCAGGACTCTGCCTGTACCTGAGGGCCTGACCCTGGCCTCCAGACCCCAAGAAGATGCACGGGGTGCTCTGACTCCGGTTGCTAGCCATTCACGCCTCTCCAGCAAGTCAGAGAGTCACAGCGCGGTCACGTTGGCCCAGCCAGGGATGACCCGGGCGGGGAACCCCTGTCCGAGCTACTGGGCCCAGAAGGCTGCTGGCCTTGACCTTCTGGGAGGTGCGTGTGTTCCCGCTCCTCCCGGTTCAGGTGCAGGCTAGCCCAGGCGCGAACCCCAGCTCCACCTGAGGGTTTAAAATTCAGAACATAAAAGACAGGACTGCGACTCGACGACAAACTAACAACCCGCTCTAAGGTGAACGAGGGATAGGAGCAGACATTTCTTCTCCAAAGAAGATACACAACTGACCGCCGAGCACACGGGAAGGGGGCCTGTGAGCACAGCAGTCATGGGAAGTGAGTGACCACCTCCGGCCACCAAGGGTGGCTAGAGCCAAAGAAGGGAAGCAAGTGAAGACGCGAGGAGCCGCAGCCCCTGGCAGCCCTGCGGGTGGGCATGGTGAGGAGAGGGGCCTGGCCGGTCCCTGAGATGGCAGACGGGCCATGACCACCTGGTCCCCCCCCCTTAAGCATGTGCCTGGAACTGGAGATGAGGGTCCAACCAGGTGCCATCGCCTGCTCACAGGAACCTGCGCGTCCAGCCGGGGAAGACCGCGCAGAAAATGTGTTGGTCGTACACAGAACGGCGCTTGCCATTTTTTTTTTTTTTTAAGTGAAGGAATGTCATAGCAGTCACCGGCCCCAGCACGGGTGGACCTCGGGGGCCAGATACCCAGAAGAATGTTGTCTGACGTCACTAGGAGGAAATACCCAAGGGACGCATCCAGGGTGGGACAGCGCAGCAGACGTCACCCGGGGTGCCCGCTGGGGCTGGGTTTCTGTTTGGAGTGACAACAAAGTTTCAGAAACAATAGTGATGGCTGCACAACACTGTGGATGTCACTAAGGCCACCAAGCCTCACACTTAAACATAGCTGAAGTGGCACCTCGTGTGGGTCATATATTTTACCATGGTAACAAAAAGTTTTTAAAAGTCCCAGCTTCCTTGGGGCTGGGGATGTGGCTCAAGCGGTAGCGCGCTCGCCTGGCATGCGCAGGGCGCTGGGTTCGATCCTCAGCACCACATAAAATAATATAAAGATGCTGTGTATTAAAAAATTCTCTCTCTCTCTCTCTCTCAAAAAAAAAAAAAATTGAAAGTCCCAGCTTCCCACACGTGACCTTTGTCTGAGCTCCCTGGGTGGATCCCAAAACACTGTCCCCAGAGCCTTGCCAGCTCACAGGGTGGACATGGGGACAAAGCTCGGGGCAGCTGACAGAACGCCACCTGAGAGGCTCACCCAGCGTGTTTCTGGGACAGGAAGGTGTTGGGGACATGGTCATAGACTCCCAGGGGTGACCGTGTACCCGCTCGACCCGCCTGCTTGGCGTCACCCTGGCAGTTGTGTGGGATGCGGGGAGAGCTGCCCGGCTCTGTGCTGCCCCAGAAGCCCCCGAGGAAGCCCGCAGGCCAAGGCCAAGGCCTCTGTCCTCCGCAGGGAGGGGGAGAATAACAGACCCCAAAGATGCCACATCCTAAGCCCGACATCTGTGACTGCATTCGGTTACACAGCAAGGGCGGGCGGGCACGCGGGCTTCTCATCAGGGAACCTGAAATGGGGACTCCTGGGTCAAGCTGGGGCCATGGCCGTCACGAGGGTCCCCAGGAGTACAGGAGGGAGGCAGGGGCGGAGGTCTCTGTGCTGCGACACAGGACAGACTGGCCCTGCCACGGCTACTTTGGGACACCAAGGAAGGAAGGGATGTGCAGAGGAACGTGGGCAACTCCAGGAGCTGGGAGACAGGAACTGGATTCCCCAGCCTCCCAAAGGGACGCAGCCCTGCTGACACCGCTTCCCACCCAGCAAGGACCCCTGAGACTTGCTGCATGGCCACTGACGGGTTTTAAGCCCCAAGTCGTGGGACCTTGTTCCCGAAGCTGCAGGAAACTGACGCGCACCCGTGGCATGGCAGCCCAGCCCCCGCGCAGCCCTGGGATGGAGTGGGCGGGCTTGGCCAGCCTTGCCAGAGCTGCCCACCGCCTGGCCAGGGACAGGCCTCCAGGGCACTTCCCAGCTTTGATCTGCCTGTCCTTCAAGGGCAGAGCTCAGATGTGAAAGCTGGAAGGACACGGGCCTAGGGGCAGGTGAACTGCACACTAGCCTTCCATTTGGAGGTGGGGACAGGGCCTGCTGCTCCACAGGGAAGCGGGTGGGACGGGGCAGGGGCAGCTTCATCCCACCTTCTTCTGACCCAAGAGGGCCAGGGTCAGCAGTGACACTCCGGGCCAGGCTGTGCTGCAGTGTGGTTGGGAAAACGGGTGCTTCTACGGGCAACCAAGGGGCTGGGGGTCCACCAGCCACAGCCAGGCAAGAGGGGTCTTTGTGACAGGCAGGGAAGAAGGATGTGCCATCCTCTCTTCGGAAGGGCCTGCCCCGCCCAGGACCTGGAAGGCACCGCAGAGCCCTGACCTGTGCACCCCAGGAGTCAGGCTGGGCTCCACCCGCCTGCCTCTCCCCAGGGTCCTCTGGGCACCAGCCTCGCTCTACAGGGTCCTCAGAATAGCAGCGGGTCCCCCACCTGCCCACACCCTCCAGGGGATCCACCAGCTCAAGGCCCTCGGCTTCCACAGAGCAGGTGGCCCCTACTTCCCCTTGGAAGGACGCCAAGTTTTAGACTGAGAGGGTGGGGCCTGCCACACCTGCACCAGGTGAGCCACAGGTAGGTGAGCTGTGGGGCCGCAGGGCCTGGGTCACCTGGTTCTTGGATCCAGGCCAGACCAACAATACTCTGCTCCTCAGAGGCAAGAGCAACCACAGAGCCCAGAAGCCAGGACCTGGGCCAGTGGGCCCCAGTTTACCTGTCTGCTGAACAGCAATCACATGCTCTACCTGTGGGATGGGTTGGAAGCAAGTGAGAACACACTTGGGGTCCCCCAACCAGGCCAGCTTCAGGGAGCCTGGTGCCCCATCCTCCTCTTCCCAACGGTTCCAAAGGACTCAACTGCTCTCCCAAGCCCTCTCTCCTCAGGGACCCAGAGCAACTGAAGAGGACAGCAGAACTTGGGCCTGCCTGGCCACCCTGAGGCTGCCCCTTACACCCCCAGGTCTGTAGGACCGCAGTGCCAGGACTGGGAGGAGCACACCCCTGAAACCTCTTCTCAGTGGACGCTGGGCAGTTCCCAGCCTGGCCAGGCACAGGCACGTCCAGCAGGAGTCCTCACTCAGGCAAGACCCCACAGGGCCTGGGAGCCTCCCAGTGCCCA